ACCTGCCCAGAGGTGCCCCAGGCCAGCCACAGCCATGCCGCACCTCCCATCCCCTCCCCTCCCCAGACCCCAAGACGTTGTGGGGAAAAGCCTCTCACTCTCCTCTGAAGAAGCTTTTGATATGCCCCATGCAGGTTCCAGGGCGGCTGGGCGGCAGTATTTGCTACTCAACTTCCTGGGTTCATAAGTAATCTCTCTGGAGTCCAGGGAGATTACTGATGAACCCGGGAAGCTCACTAGCACGTACCGACTCTTCAGCCACCCCAGAACCTGAATGGGGCATAATAAAGCAAAAACTTCCTCCCAAAACCCCTCACCGGGGGGTCTGGCGGCAGCAGCGCCAGGGGGTTAAAGGACAAGGGTGATCCAGTGGATATAATGTACTTGGACTTCCAGAAAGCCTTTGATGAGGTCCCTCATTAAAGGCTCTTAAGCAAAGTAAGCAATCATGGGATAAGAAGGAAGGTCTGCTCATGGATCTGTAACTGGTTAAAAGACAGAAAATAAAGGGTAGGAATAAAAGGACAGTTTTCACAGAGGAAAGAAGTAAATGGGGGGGGGGGGCGGCCAAGGATCAGTCCCGGGACCTGTGCTGTTCAACATATTCATAAATGAACTGGGAAAAGGGGTAAACCGTGCAGTGGCAAAGTTTGCAGATGATACAAAATTACTCACGATAGTTAAGTACAAAGCTGACTGTGAAGAGCTACAAAGGGATCTCACAAAACTGGATGAATGGGCAACATAATGGCAGATGAAATTCAATGTTGATAAATGCAAAATAATGCACATTGGGAAAACATAATCCCAAATGATAGCTAATTTGGATTCCATTATTTTGTTACCACTCAAGAAAGATCTTAGAGACATTGCGGATAGTTCAGTGAAAACATCCACTCAATGTGCAGCGGCCGTCAAAAAAGCGAACAGAATGGTAGGAACCATTAGGAAAGGGATGGGTAATAGTGTTGTAAATATCACAATGCCACTATAGAAATCCATGCTACGTCCACACCTTGAATACAGCGCACAGTTCTGGTCGCCCCATCTCAAAAAAGATATCTTAGACTTGGAAAAAGTACAGAGAAAAGCAACAAAAATGATTAGGGGTATGGAACAGCTTCTGTATGAGGAGAGATTTAAAAGATTGGGACTGTTCATCTTGGAAAAGAGATGACTAAGGGGGGATATGATAGAGGTCTATAAAATCATGATTGGTGTAGAGAAAGTGCATAAGAAAGTGTTATTTGTCTCTTCATATAACACCAGAACCAGGAGTCATCCAATGAAATTAATAGGCAGCAGGTTTAAAACGAAAGGAAGTACTTCTTCACACAATACAAAGTCGCCCAGTGGAACTCATTGCCAGGGGATGTTGTGAAGGCCAAAAATGTAACTGGGTTAAAAAAAGAATGAAGATAGGTCCATTAAAGGTTAGAAGCCAAGATGGTCAGGAAAGCCACCCCATGCTCTGGTGTCCTTAAGTCTCTGACTGATCCATCCCCTGTCATCCAGTCCCAGCATCTGGCAATCTATAATTGTCCTGTTTTGTTCATTCCCTCTGAAGCATCGGACATTGGCCACTGTCAGAAGACAGGCCACTGGGCTAGATGGTCCATTGGTCTGACCCAATATGGACATTCTTATGCTATGTTCTTAAAGCATTTGGGGGTGGGGGTGGAAATTAGACATGTGAATGTCCTGGGAGGGCAGGCTTATTGGGGTGGAGGAGTGGGGAGAAGAGGGGTTTGGGGATGCAGTGTGGGAAAGGGGGATAAATGTTGATGGATAGTAAGGGAGGTGAGAGAGGTTGGGAACTAAGGGGCGGGAGGCCTGGCACTCAACAGCAGGGTCAGTGCACCCCACCCCTATGAATGCCACAGCTCTGACAGTGCACCCCAACCCACCTGTACCCAACCCCCA